AAAATTTTTGACATGCACAATTTTTCAGAACTTGAACTTATATCCTAGATCGATTCCCCTTTGAAAAATAATTTTTTGAAAATAAAATCCATAAATTACGTTTTTAACAAGTAGGTTATTTATGGATGAAAATAATTTTAAATTACAGTATTTTCAAAGCTGATTCTAAAAATCGCATTCTAAAATTTTTCTGACCATAAATAACGAAGTTACGCTATGACGTTATTGATGGATTTTTAAAATTGACATTTTATTTTTCGATGGGGAATCGATTTAGTGGGTTGGTACAAAGTTGAAAAATAGCTGAAAATTTAGTCTGAAAATATATGGCAAACTGTAAGAAATTGTTGTATTTTTAAACGTGAATAACTTTTTAAATATTATAGTTACGAAAGTAATTTTTTATTATTTCACTATTATATGATAAGGTTATATTATTTATAAAATATCATTAAAAAATATTAACTTTAGTTAATCCCTTGACATCGTGTTTCTGACTAGTTTTGTCATTAGATTTATCATATTTTTCTATGAATTTGCTGCATTTAAATATAATTTAGCTAGATGATAATGTATTTTATTATGATAATAATGTGAAATTCAGTGTACATAGCAGTTTTATGCTGCAAATATCTTTCTAAATAAAACATTTTATAATTTTCACAAATAATGGACAAAAATTGATGACTGTCCTCTCCAATAGAGGACGGCTGGTCACACTGAGAGTAACTCAATAAATAGGCGTTGCACATAGTGTTCCCAAATCCAAAAATCAAATTCCTTGAGAATCCCTATTTTTACCTCAGAAATATCCTTAAGTTCCTTGATTTTTTAAAAATTAATCATAAATTTCCTTGATGTCCATTGAAATGGTCATATTTTTAGAAAATATTTCCTTGAGCATAAGACCGATTTTTGAAAGTCCTGCTTGAACCTTGAGATTTGGGAACCCTAGTTGCACATCACAAATAGACCCATAGCATACTAACCTGGAACATTGTACATTATTTTCAACTATATGTGGACATCCCTATAGATATTATACTATTTTTAATGACACGATTTACTAATTTTGACATTTAATGCAATAAAATTTAACATTTAATTATTACATAATAGGTCATGCAAAGTTTTCAATGTGTTTATTTAAAAAAGTGCATGTTTCTAAATATTTAGAAAACAATTTCATTAATTCATTTTATTTTGCGAATCAATTTTTAAGTGAATAATTTCATCATTCTCATTTGCGTCCTTGCTCATTTCAATGGTATCCGCACGATGTTTATTATCAATATACAATTTCTTATCAAATATAGCTTTTGACAGAATCATTGCCAAAGTCAGGAACGGTATCTCAAACCACGCGGTCAACGGTATAATAATAGCATAATTTGTTACAATATATACAAATGTGTATAATATAATCATCGGGAATACATAATAAAATCCGTGGGCTATAGACTCGGGTTTAACCTGTAGTTCCGGTGCCATATTTAAAAATATGAGACCCAGACTCAGGTGCAGTAGGTATGAGGTCTGTTGGCTGACCCGTATTGGTCGCCAATAGGGTGACCGTAAAAATCGATCCCAAAACCGGTTAAACTTATTATAATTTTCAGACGTGTAAATGATCCCGTAACATGTCATTAACATGGGTACGATTCCAGATAGTGCATGCTCAATTGCTGTAAATACAGGTAGGCCGCCAAATAGGGATGTATGTCTCATACAGCTTATGATTATAGATGATATTAAATATGAAGTTAATAATGCAAAAATTTTTGTTGTCCATGGTGAATTGTATATTTGCTTAATGTGGCTTTTCTCGATTATGTAGCCAAATATCATCCCGGTGAAATATGCTGTACCATATCGAAAAGCTGTCATATGTAACAAATTCATGGTATGGCCCGGTATGCTATTTTAATAAAATAAATATATTAACACATTTTTAATTAAGAATGATAGATTATAGATTAAGAAAAGAAAATATTATTAACATTTTATTCTTTGTTGTATAGTAACAATCTATGATCTAACAGTTATTAGATATATTTTAAGAATGTAAATACCTAGTGTGACCAACTCAAGTTTTGTAATTAGTGGACATTTTGATAGAATAATTGAATAAATTGAGGACAAATAGTGGACAACATATTTTATAGAGGAATTGAATTACAATTTTTTTGAGAATATTCTTTCTGTTGATCTCTAACAGCAGAAATTTGTGACTAGTTTTGTCATTAGTTTTTTACATATTTTCCTACAAATTTGTTAAAATTAAATATTATTTAGTGATTATAATGTGAAATCCAATTTACATAGCGGTTTTATGCTGCAATATTTTTTTTCTAAATAAGGCATTTAATAATTTTAACAAATAAAGGACATTCAATGTCCACTATTTCTCTCTTTAAACACAGAGGACAGACACCCTAAATAGAGGGCTGTCCTCTCCAATAGAGGACGGTTGTGTACACTGTAAATACCCTTGATCAATTTTATATTAATAACAATTTAATATGGCTTACTAAATAGGACTGACGATATAAGTAGTGAAACCCATGGCATCGGATATGACTTCAGTGGTGAAGCCATTGGAGTACGCGATATAAAACACTGATATTATAGACCACATGTTGGCCCCGATTAGGGCACATATACCTAGTTTTGGTTTTCTATTGGCAAATGAAATATAATTAATAATTGTTTTCAAATATAAATTAAATTTAAAAAGCTCACTTGACCAACAATATAGCGAATATCGGCGTAAATACTACATATTGAACAATGACCATGTAGGTCCACGTTACGGGCATGCACTATATAAAAATATAATTAATAAATAAATAATGTACATGTTAATAATAGCTTTAATATTACCATTCCGTTATCCCTATTGATGAAATTGCCGACAAATAGCAAATTGTAGACCAGATTGTCGTAACACAAACCCTCGACCCGTTTGTCGGCAAACCTCGGACTAACCCAATAGCGGATGTAAATCATGAAGAAATAGTAACACAAGTAATAAATCGGAATAATTCTCATCAAACGATCGAAATAATAGCGAATTGTGATTAGAGTCAGTCGTTTGCCACCCGTTTTGTCCACTTGTCGTATAAACCATTTGATTGATGCAATTCCCGCGCATAGTATCGTGACGTCCATTATGTATTTAAATGTGTAGTATCCCAGGTACCTGTTAAATAATAATGTACTTTTAGTGATAAATAATTTAAAACAATACTTATATTCTGTACCTTAATTTAAATGTACTACCCAAATATTAGCAACTCATATACATTGTCTAAATGAAATATTAAAATGTACAGTACAGTTCATCGCCTCTACTACTTTGATATAAATGTACATTTTGTACAATTAAAGTTATATTAGTGCAGTGTTGAAATATATTTAAATATAATTGTATCATAGTAGTATTAATAGTATTATGTCTTCTAGTAAAAATATAAAAAATACCAACCATCCCCGGTATGAGCCAAATATACTGTTACTATTCAAATACTCGACGTTATCCTTGCGGTAGAGAAATATAGTGCCGACGAAGTGGTGAATGAATGACAAGAAGTGAGCCATAGCTCGGATGCCATCGAACAGCGCATACCTATCGTCCGGAATATTCTGGTCTCCAATCGACTTATTCTTAGTGTTCACACGAATCGAGTTTTTATAGACATACGGCTGAGATATACAGTTCCACACGTTGTCACAAATACTCTGGTTATTAGTATTTGTTTTATTTTGTGTTTTGAGACACATATGTCGTATAGTGGCGTATATTACCAGTAAAGACCATATAATTATAATTGCTAGAAATATATATAAATCAAGCATTTTAATAAAAATTTATTTATTGGTTTTCCAAGTTATTAAAATTATGCTGAGTTTCTATTTTCAATATTGAATTCACAATACAAAATGTTAAGTTTTGATAAAATAGCTATTTTTTCATTGAATTTATTAATTTAATATTTTATTTTATTTGGTGTGGAAAACCTAGTGATTGGGTAAATTTATGTTCATAATTATATTTCAAACGTCCCTGAAGGTGGGACAAAAAATCATCATTATTATTAATGATCAGAGTAAATCACTAATTTATAATTGAATTTATGATGAATTTATAATCATTTTATGATTTTCTATCATTAAGTAAAATGTTTCATTAACAATGTCATCATTTATTTTATGTATATAAATAATAATTATAATCAAACAAATTCAAATAGTTAAACAAATAGTTGTTAACATAAAAAAGTTATTGTAATAACCCAGACATATTAATTATAAAAAAATAGTTTTCAAATATATCTATTAAATAAGATCGTTTACTTGTACATGTTAATGATGTTAACAATATTTTTAACATTGTACCATTTGAGTTAGTATTTATGTTATTAAGTATCATTTTATACTTAACTCTAACCTTCATAAAATATATTAACTAAATTGATTTTTAAATACAATATAATAATACATAAAATATAATAGCAAATATAATCCCCTTAAGTGTACAATGTAATAATAATTGTTTATAATAACATCATGTTTACATAAATATTTTATAAAATTAATCATTATTATTATTAGTATCAATGTAATTGTTTAATAATTATTATAGGAAAACATACTAACCTAGTTAATAATTTATTAATAATACATAACTAGGTCCTTAGTATAAAAAATCATAAGGTTTATTATTTTTTAAAATATAAAACTAAAACATTATAAATAACACATATTTCAAATGAAGTTACATTGTTATTTAAAAAATTGAGCACCTCGGACATGTATAAAGATCTTCAATTAAATCCGAGATGAAAGATTGTTTAATAACTCGCTTATTACTTGTACTTAAAATCTATTCTCCGGTACACTTAGAGTTCATTATGAGGTAGTAATGATAAAATAAGAATATTCTATATTCTGTATTCTGTGATATTGGATGGTTTGCTGGACCCATAGTCAGCGCAAAGATGACTTATGCTACAATAATATGGAGTAAGGGTATGGTAGGGGAGATACTATATTTAGTAAAATTCTACGGATACATGGTGTCAATGGTTTGTATCCAAACTTAAAGGTTAGAGCACAGGGAGGCCGGGTATTTCAACAAATCACATCTTTAATTAATTATAGAAAATTAATCAATATGTGTATAGCAAAGTTATGACATGGAAAATGTAGAGAATTTAAATCTCTATCATATAAAAATTTAAAATATTTTAATAATTTTTAGCACCGGGAGGAAAGGGATGGATTTTATAGCGGGAAAACTACAAGTCTTAGCGCAAATCTAATTACTGTGTTGGACAGAGGTCAAGATGTGGTTGATTCAATAGGATGATTTATATGTTTTCCATGAATAGGGATAATTATTAATTGTTTATTTAAACATTCCAAACGTAATATTTCCCTTAAAATATTAATTGAATTTAGTATTAATATTATAAAATTTTTTTGACACATTAAAAGTTACATATCAACTGTTTTCATGATTTAATTAATAAATGACAATAATTAACAGTTATATGAAAGCAAAGTTGATGTATAACTTTAAACTACCATATTTCTACAATTGTATTTACCTGTATACATTTTCATATTCTTTATACAAAAGTTCCTTGATGAATTCGCTTCGTAATACAGTGATACAATCTTTTGCATCATGTAACTCAATGAGTGAACAAATAGCATCATGTAATATATAACTGGTAATCCACGTTTTGTCATTTAATGATTCATATTGTTTTGGGAATTTAGTAAAATTATCTGGGATTTTAAAATTGATTAAAAATGTTTGTATTATTGTATATTTACTCAAATATTTTTATTGTATATTTAAAAATTTCTTAATATATTAATCATTTGAATACTATTTTCATGTCTAATAAATATTCATACTATTAATCAAAATGAAAATTATGTTTCCAACAAAATATCTTTTCATTCAAGTCACTTTTATAAAGTCATTTATAAGTCACTTATAATTCATTAAATACTAGTGTTTTGAATAGTAAAGAAGTTTACTAATATTATAAAACACTAATTTTGGGATTTTAAAAATTATGGGCGTCTCTGCATTAATGTGTAGTACATACATTAATTGAATTGAATTTATATTTAGTTAATTAAGCAAATATAATATTTACATAAATAATTAATTTTCAGTCTTTTAAATAGTTAATTATAATTTCTTTCATTCAATTGATTAAAGCATTACTAATAGTTTATAACCCAGTATATCTGGGTCAATATATCGGATGATACCTGACTAATATAGGCTTATCTGTCGCTTCTTGCA